AACTTTCTCTAACTGGACCTTATTGAACTGTAATTAAACACCCCTGTAACAGACTGTATGAGAAAAATGAACATCCTAACTTATCTTATATACACTTCCCTCCAAATATCAGAGTTCTACAAATTATGAGGCCATTAATTTGTCAAAATGCTAATATTGGTACATACATACTACAAACAAGCAACACTACTAATGTAAATATACACTAAATCAGGGGCGTCCAGTCTTATCCACAAAGGGCCGGTGTGGCTGCAGGTTTTCACTCCAGCAAATCAGGAGATCACCTGATGAAATGTTTGAAGACTAAGACCAACTGAGTAAACAAGCAGAATCAGGTGAGATTCAGCTTGTTTGGAGTGAAAACCTGCAGCCACACCGGCCCTTTGCGGATGAGACTGGACACCCCTGCACTACATCAACACTTATGAAACAACCAGCTACTTAAACTGTAGCATATAATTTACAACTCCAACAATATATGGTCGGGCAAAATGGCAAGAACATTTCATGATGCTTGCAGATGTTTTGACAACATACATGAAGTATCACAACGTAATTTTCCTGAGGTCTGATGAGCTGAAACAGGAAAAAGGACTAGCAGAGCCACATTTAAATGACAGCATATTACAGTACAGCGCTCTTATTCTCCACTAAATCCAATTGAACAGGCTGTCTTGGTAATGAAATACACGGTTTGAGTTCTTTAAAGGAAAAGTTTGGTGAAAAATCAAATTCACACATTTTTTTTTTTTTTAGTTACGCCAGATGTAGTCAATCAGCCACGACATGTTACCTGTCCAACTTTCACCTCTAGTGTAAAACTGGAGCGACAAGGCTAATGAGGCTAACTAGAAGTCAATGGTCACCCGAGTCTTTCCCGTAACACATCAACAAAACATCTCTCAAGCTGCTCAAATCTCATCCTACTCTTCATTAGGGTCATACAGATTTGTCATTGTGGTCGAAGACAAAGGCCCAATCCCATTTCACCTCTTGCCCCCACCACTCAGCCCTTATCCCTCTGTTTTGCGTGTTCAATTGTGTTGGGTGTCTCAATTTTTGTTGAGATAGAGGGGTAGGGCGAAGTGTTAGGGCTACATGGCCCTCCAAATGGAGAGACACACTCCAAAAAAAGTGTTATGAGAAAAAAAAAAAGAAAAACCGGCAAGATGGCTGCGTGAGCGACCAAAGAAACCCACAAATGTGAGAATTTTCTGTTAAAAAATTACGATAACCATTGTATTATCTCAGTTTAATATTGTTTAAATGTATTATGGTCCTTTTCTTCGTAAGAAGCATAAAAAAATCCCTAACAGCATGCTAATGTCTCGGTGGCTAGCTAGCTAACTTTCACGTTCTTCCTTAAATAGTCCAGCAGTTCTGATGCCTGAAGCACCAGAACGCAAGCATATGCAACTGCTGCACCATTTAAGGTGGAACGGGAAAATTCAAACAAGAAGCTGGTGAATAGCTGACTTTAGCTTATATCACCAAAGAATTAGCGGTGGGCGATAATAAATAATTGCCCCCCTCTTTGAAAGCATATAATGCACTAAATGTAACTAAAGCCCAGCAGTGAGGAGCTGAACTTTTCCCTTCTCTGCTATCACTGAAGACGGGCTGGGTCGCCTACAGAGCAGCGCTAGTAGCCTATTAATGAAGCAATGTTTTTTTTTTTTTGAGGGTTGTCCCATTACGTAGGGCAAGATTTCAACTACTACCAAACGACCAAAGAAACCCACAAATGTGAGAATTTATTTTCTTCATAACAAGCATAATAAATCACTAGTACTATGCTGATGTCTCGGTAGCTACCTAGCTAAATTTCCTGTTCCACCTTAGATAGTGCAGCAGTTCTGACACCTGAGGTGCCAGAATGTAACTGCTGCTCCATTTAAGGTGGAACGGGGAAATTCCCCACAAGAAGCTGGTGAATATCTGACTTCAGCTTCATATGACCGAAAAATTAGGGGTAGGTGATAATAAATAATTGCCCCTCCCTCTTTGAAAGAATTTGATTCCCTAAATGTAACTAAATCCCAGCAGTGAGGAGCTGAACTTTACCCTCCTCTGCCATCACTGCAGACTGGCAGGGTCGCCTACAGAGCAGCACTGGTAGCTGTTAAAGAAGTAATGCTCTTTTTATTTATTTGCTCTTCTTGTAACTCAGTTCTAAGGGGCAAAGTGACTCTCAAAAACAGGGGGTAGTGGTAAAAATAAGAAACGGGGCCTTACTTTGAGCTACAAAACAGATCGAAACTTCACAGTGTGGCCAAACACTCTAGGCAGCCACAACAGGTGGTGTGCCGAATTCTGACTCCCCTGCAGAATCTGACTACCAAGCCAGGCTGAGAAAGGTTTTGGGGATGTGGTTACAGAAGAGATTTGGGTCTCCTGACTTCTGGAATGTGTTAGCAGTGTTAGCCTTGTAGCTCCAGCACTAAAGCACAGACTCCAAACACTAAAACTAAAAATACTAAACCAAAAACTAAACACTTATCCGTTTCGCAATTTTACATTTTTGTCAGACCTTCAATTTGAACCGTACAGACCGAGCCCCCTCTAGCCTTAAGAAGTCCAGCATGAGCGTGGGTTGGCCTCTATCCCGATATCAAAACAAACCATACAAAGTTCACACATAGTCTCAATGGTGTAAGAAAAGCCCCCAAAAGCTTAGCTGGACAGACAGCCGTGAAGGAAAACGGCCACTCTGTAGGAAGCAAATATTTATGGGATCTGACCGAAATACTTCAGGCATGGTTGTCAGGATTTCGGCACAACATTGCAGCTGTCTGACGTCAGCCTAAGACACAGCCTGAGGGCACATTCTTTCCTAACTCCTGCGTTTCTCATCACCACAGCTTTATATTCAGATTATACTGGTGAGTACTGAGTGTGCACTGTGTGCATAAATCAGGCTTCATTTAGTAAAATACTGATGAAGTGAATAAGCATGAGCTCAAGCGCACAAGTCCAGTCATAACACAGTTCTGAAGCAGCGATGGGACTGTATGGAATTCATCACGATATCAGTGACAAATTACTATTCATTTAAACAGTATTGTAAAAATTAGAGGTGCATAATTAGAACCACACCACTTCAGCTCCATTAAGCAATTTGCAATCTGCTGATAATAAATTATTTTTAATTTCGTGAGATAAGTTTTGCAATTTTATAATGTAAACAATGCGAGGCAGGTCAGAGCACTCTTTATTTAAATGCTGCTGCTACATTTGTCTCAAATTGTCGTAGCATAATTATATGTGACTGATTGGGCTGAATAACCAGCTGTTTCTTCATTCAAGTTATTCAAATAGGCAACCTATTTTTTTATTTATGAATTTCACAAAATGCCAGTTTGGCCCATCAAAGAGCAAATAATATTATTAATATTGCAACTCTGGCTAACAGTAAGTACTGGTAAGAGTGTTTTCTATGTGCACACTTAGCACACACAGTGTGAGTTGAGGGTGTTTATAATAAATAAATAAATACATAAATACAAAAATAAGTTATATAACCTCTTTATAACACTGCAAAAAAATAAATATGAAATTATCCCCGGCACTGCTGTTGTTTACTGTGCAGATTCTAACTGTGTAAACATGTGTTGTCCTGGTTTGTGCCTTGCAGGAATATTAAAGCAGTAGTTTGGTAGGCAATATGACAATGCTTGTGTATTATGACATAACTTATCACAATCAATTAAGCAACAGAACACGAGAGGGAGGGAGTTATCGCGAAATAACATCACAAGCTCGAGTGTTCTATTGCTTTTATACAACAGTTAAATAAATAAAGTAATAAATTAATAAACTGGTCCGTGAACGCGGCGTTTAATATGTTTTAATGTTCGCAGTTCCTTCCGCCAAATTATAGTTCCTTAATAAGCAGCTCGTTGCTACGTCAGAGTAACGAGCTCCGCCCACTCGCTGCACAGCCGGCAGTTCGTTCTCCAGCTCCACAGAGACCGACTGACAGTTTGGGAATTTAGTGTCGTCTCATCTTCAGAGTCGGACCAAATCGGCTGTCGGTCAAATGTGATCTTAAAAGTGTCCATTTTCTGTTTGTGGCAAAGTAAGAAGTAAAAATGTTCAAATGATCTGAGCGTCTCCTACAGCTGTCAAAGTCGTTGCTTAGCAACGGCGTCTCAGCGGAGTGATACAGTGTTTGTGGAAAAACTGTGATGTCATGGTGAAATAACAGCACGGTTACAACGCTTCTCAACCAATCAGCTTGCGTGGCCGAAACTTGTATAAATCGTGATAAATTACGTCATAATACACAACACACTTTCCTGAGCATATTGTGTTTATCAAACACTGACCTACTTGTATGTTTTAACTGCAACATGTAAAAACAGAATAAAAATCACTGTACAGTATTATTATTATTATTATTATTTTTTTTTAATGTGACGCTATTGGTGCATTCTGTCTGTTTCAACTTTTAAAACCTCAGGAAAAACTAAATATCAGGATACACACTGTGTATTGCGAAAAGGTCTTTAAGTTTTTTGGTGTTGTATTTTGCCACATCACCCACCTCTAATCAGCAGAGTTTCCACAGACACTTCTTAAAAAGACGCTCCTAATAGAATTAATAAAATTTGAAACGCTGTGATTATCACTGATATACCTCGCCATATCATTACAATTAGAGATGACACGATTCTGATGCTAGGAAACTATACTGGGCCGATATCAGTAGAACATGGATTAGATATGGGTGCTGGTAACCATACAGTAACTGTCTGATCCCCAATATAATATAATTAGTACGAACACAAGATGTCCACTAAATAGCTTAATCAGAGTTTGATATGGCAATGTTAAAAATAAAATTAACAAGAAATGTCATTTTGGTTATAATATTCAAGATACGAAAGCATGTGTACCACTAAACCACTCTGTACTGCTTCGGCTCCACAGAACTGCGGTGGATCAGTGAACAAATAAATCAACTCATTATTAAAAGTAAAAGTAAATCAGTGACTCACTCTCAGGGGCCCTGCTGGTGTTCTCCTGCGTTGGCAGAGGTGCTTTATACTCAGTGAAACTAGGGGTCACACTGGCGGCTGAGATGATGCTGTTCTCAGACTCTCTGGCTGGAGAGGGTGTCTCTGTCTGTCTGGCAGCGAGGTTTTCAGGTCGTCGGGTCATGGGCGAGGTGTCCACTGGGCTGGGGGGCTCAGTTTTCCTCTGGGCAGGTTCGGGGATCCTGGAGGCCGGAGCAGGCCCATCCACTCTCCGCAGCGAGGCCGGAGCATCCTGAGATCGACCCAGAGTGACCTCCGTTCTCCTGTGGGCCGCCAGCTCTGGAGTCCGGCTCTGCAGAGACACCTCGGGCCGCTTCAGGCCGAAGCGCGCGATGCCTGGGCTGGGCGAGCTGTCCACCTGTTTGGAGGAAATATCGATGGAGATCTCCGTCCTGCGTGAGGCAGCCTCTTGAAGACGGGCTCCGGTGAGTTCCGTACGCCGCAGGCTGCTCTTTGGTGAGCGCTGACCACTGGACAAGGCTTCGGAGCCATGTCTGGAGGCGTAGTCGGAGTTGCGAGAGCCCAGGTCGTGGAAGCGGCTGGAGGCAGAGCCAGTGGAAGAGCGCAGCGGATTGGCTGTCCTGCGTGAAAGAGGCGACGGATTTGTGGGCGAGTCGACCTCCTCCACTTCAAACGACCTTTTCAGTGCTGAAAAAGGAAAAAAGAGGATCGTAAGGTTTGGACTAAAAGGTGCATTTTCCACTGGTTTGATTAGAGATTAACTGAATCTGATAATGATACCTGATCCTAAGTCTATCTAACCAAACTACTCAACAGGTACCTAATAACCCTGATATTTACACCACTCCACTTTTTAAATATTTTATTTAGCTAAAAGCCGTGCTCACAAATAAAACATTCTAAGCCTCACTTAATGGCATTTACTGGTTAGATAACGTCACATTTGAGTGGTTTCAGAGCTACGAAAAGTCGCTCTGCTCTTTGGCACAGTTTATATGTACTGAAATCCTCAGTGGACGTTCCTCCTCTAAAATACTGCCGTTACACGTTTTGCAATGAGCAGTTTTACTACTGCTTGTCTCAAGTATGCGAATCCAACACCACTAACATTTTGCTTGCTTCAGTTAAGCTTAATCCACTGGCGCATATGCAAGTGCCACTCAGTGGCACTTCATAGTATTGATATTCTCTACTGTCGATACTGACACTGTATTTAAGAGCCTGAACGAGGGCCAATACTGATACGACACTGGTGCTTAAAGTGATAGTTGGGGGGAAAAAATAAGATATCGGACCCAATTTCAGTGAACCAGCCAAGACATGTTTACTGTCAAAATAGTTCATTAGGTTTAGGCTAATATAGTTAACAAGTATTGCAAGCTACTATCCCATTAATTAGCAAGTTGCTAACTGCATGCCTAAATCATCACACGCTTGCCTCAAACTGGTCAGGTTTCTCAAATAGACCTGATTATGCGGTTTCGGACACTGTATGATAAACACCTTTAAAAACAGATACGAGTCCTGAGCTAAAACAGGAGCAATCATCACGAAGCCTGAAATTCATTCATACTTCTGTCTATTTTAATAGATAACACTATGTTAATTATGCTAATTGCTGGAGTATGAGCCTCCATTACTTGTTGGCCAGATTAGCCTTATTGGTCAAGCGTGAAGCTAAAGAAGCAAACATGTGTTGGCCTTTGGAGTGAGGGGGAACTACTTTTGCTGAACTACAGTCTTCATAAGAGAGACAACTGTGCATTTTTCTGAGTTGATTACTCCAATTTTGTTAACAAGACTTGGTAGACTGAGCGATAAATAACCGGGGAGATTCATAGAAAAACGAAAACTGGCCTTACGTCCTTATGACAGGACATGAGTTTAGACTCTGAGCATCAAACCATTAAACTGAAGAGAGCCGAGAGACCGATTCTGTTTCCCACATGAAGGTAGGTAAACCTCACTTCTTCACATGCGGTTATTCACTGGAAGAAAGTGGTTTCCTCATCTCCAAAATGAGAGCGCTGACTCCACAGCTGAAGAGCTCAATGTGTTTCTGAGGCTAAATCGCAAACGGCTCTAATCCCCACACGTGAAACTTTGGCTTCTCCACCCGAAAGGTGCATTTAATGGTAAATGCAGCCTATGGCTGAAACCCAACTGACATTTTATTGGACATACAAGGCACAGTACAGGTGTACAACATGTTATTTTATGACTTCAGCCTGAGAGTTTCTGTGGAGTAAATTATTTCTTTAAACCTGATCTCCTGCAGGTGTTTAATGCCATAAAAACAGAAGTAATTATACAAAAAAAGAACAGGAAGGAAGAGAAAGAAACAACTGCTGAGTGGGAAAAATAACATACAAAGTTTTTACATAACTTTCAAAAAGTCATGCTTGGATTCCAAAATAAATACAGAGAAAAGAGGGCTTTCACAGGCCAAGTTTTGTTTGTGAATATGAACTCTAGCTAAGAATATCATTAAATTAGAGGTCTTTTTTCCACTGTGACTGCCAAGGATTTCAAACAGTAACAATTTATACATATCCTGCTACGAAGACCATTAAAAATCATTCGGATTAAAACCTGATGATTTGAGTCCTGTGGGAAAGGCTCAAAGGGGAATACCACCAATTTTTAAAGATTTTTTTAATATAATTCAGTCACTGAGATGTAAACAAAGTTATTCAGATTGGTCTGATGTGAACTGGTTCATAGCAGAGAAACCTACCAGTTACAATTTCTTTACAGTGGTGGTGATAGGAACCAGGGGTCGCCATGTCAAAAATGCAAATATAGCCATGTTATTTACTATCCAAAATGACCAGTGAACCTACAAGTGTCTTCTGAGTTTTATACTTAAAGTTTCTGATCATAAATGAGTTCTAAATCTGAAAGAACAGGTTTTCACTGGGGACTATAATGCCTTAGACCAGACTACATGTACCTGTCCACCATTAATGCATTAAAAAAAATAACCAAAACCTGATCTTAAAACGTGTAAAACTGTCTCAGGCATCATATCCATAACTTAACCACTTAATGTAATAACTCTGTGTGATAGCTTTCAGAGGCATTCAACTCTTCAGATGTTTGGTTCCTATCACCACCACTGTGAACATTTCTGAGTTTTTCTAGAACGGAGCACATCAAACCCCTCTGACTGACTTTGTTTACATCTCAACCATTTTATTATGCATAAATTTTGAAAAAACGGAGGAGCTTCCCTTTGGATACAACGAGTGAAAACTCTTTTAGGTAACGTTAACTATTAACTTAAGTGCCTTTAGGATCGCTCACAAGCCTGTAAAACCATTAGGGTCTTTTAGCTAACTACATTACGAAAACAACCCACCAGAAAAACGCGTTTACTAGCCGTTGGACATCATTACAAAACGCAAAACGTAGCCATGCAAGTCTTTTAACGACGTAGCAAAAGCCTCAACTTAACAAGCGCCATTTTTCGAGTTTCCCTCCATCTTAAATGCCGTTATATTCTGTCCACAGGCGAAGTTACAGGTTTGAATTTGAGCGGGAAAATTGTGTGTCCAAATTCGACTAAAAGTGAGGATAAGAACCACGAAATAACAGGGTAAACTAAAGTACCGTTAGACTACAAGCCTACCTGATTTGACCCGTTTCAATTGTCTTGTCAACATTGCCGCCATTGGTCAAACGGACTACAATCTCCACAATGCCGAGCGCGCGATGTGAGTTCAGCTAACCCGTCAAATCCCTTCGTACCTTATGGGTAATGCAGGCTCAGAGGGACGTTTTAAGAGTGAATAGAAACTGGCAAACGTTGAGGTCGTTTGTTGCGTTTGACTGATCGGATTTCTTGATAAAATAGACATTAAAATATATAAAAGCTATTTTATCCAGCTGTATTTTTTAAATCATGTTTAATGTCGTTTTTATTTTCAGAGAGGAAAAGTGGATAAATTGGGGTTACTCGGGGTTTGATTTGAGAATCAAGGGGATGCCACCAAGCCCACCCACCATCTCCTTTAGTTTAAAGCCATTATGTGAAATCGTCATCAGGAAACCAGCTGGAGTGATTATAAACACAAATAAGTCCATTTGTCTTCAAATGATCGATGTTTGCCTTAAATCTTTCTCTTTGCCTTTTCAGTAGCTTCTAACTAGGCAAGGTTGTTGTCTGTGTTGCTATGTGACCGGCAGTCTGAGCGCCAACCTTCAGAGTTAAAGGTCCTGAAACTGCTGCCTCCTCTGCAGGAACATAGTGTAGAGGAATTAGCAGATATAGGCTGTATTAACTGCCAGCGTTTAAGACCATTTAGTGTTAAAACTGTGTTGAACGATCAGCAGAGCTTTATTTTACTGCAAAGAAGGATTATTTTATTTTTACCTACAAATCTAATTCTGCTGTGGAGCCGTAACAGGGCAGTAAAAGAGCCGCATGCAGCTCCTGAGGGGCACGTTGCCGACCCCTGCTATAGTGGAAAACAGGCATGGATGGCACAGTTTTCACTCTGTACTGCATATACCAGGCAGATCACACATTAGGAAAACCCAACTAGCATCTAACATCTTAGATAAAACACAAACACATTCAATGTCAGAGAATTTTTCCTGGAATTAGTGCATTCAGTAATAAATTCATGTTGTGTACTTGGGCCAACTTGACAGCTAATGCAGTACCGGCTCTCTTTTTCTTCTTCCAGTCATTTGACATTCATCATTATCATTTTAGACACAGCCAACATCAAAATCTCTCCTCTTTCATTTTTGCGATCAGTTTTACAGTTCAGTAAATGTTTGCCTAGTTGGCAGTAAAAAGCCTTTTTTGCGAGGAGGCCTTTCATTGCCCTTTTTTCCCTCCACATACACAACAAAGCCTGTGGCATTGATTTCACAGCTGGCCCGTGTTTCAGAAAGTCCATCAGTGTTTGAAATCCGTATTGGCAGCTTTACTCATTGAGAAATAGGGCTAAATGATTTCTGTATGTGATCAGCTCTGAACCCAGCATGGGCAGAGCTTCACTGCGTGCATTCTGGTTCTCATTACATTGAGTAACATCCACCTCATAATTGAGGGCTGCTAAAATAATATTAAGCCTCTTCCAGTCGTTTTCAGTCCTGATGACTTACTGAAAACTGCTATTCCAGGGAGCTTTAGCTCTTTTAAACCTACCTATTTGCTTGAACTGGACACCTGGCGTCCTTTCTTTGCTGCATGTTTATTAAGACTTGGGCTCAACTTCTGAGCCGCTGAGCTGTCGTTAAGTGTAAATCAAGCTAGTGTGTTTAGTGATATGACTGGTGTGGAAATGTGTAGAATTGTGTAGAACTGAAGTGTAAATGCTGTCCCATAGACTGTTGCTGGTGTAGGAGAGTCAGAGCACACATTACTCTGCAGTGCATGCTGGGCACTGTAGTGCAGTACATTGTGAAACAGGCTTATATCAATAGAAAATTAAAATGCTTTTGTGGGCCGGATAGGATTGTGTTGCGGGCCTGATCTGGCCCGCGGGCCTTGTGTTTGACACGTGGGCTCTAGGCCCTCACTTCAGCCTCCACATGCATGGTTGCCAGATTACTTTAATAGATTTCTGATGAATAACTCAAAACCCATCTAAATGCACAAAAAAACACCAATTTTGACATACATTAAAAAAAATCTGCATTGTTTTTATAGCCAACATGACATCATGTCAATA